ATAATAATAATAATAACAATAGTGAATAATAGCTACAACAATAACAAAAGCAACGAACACTAATAACAACATAACGACTACAACAATAATTACAGCTTCAGCTACAACAATAACGATTATAACAACAGTAACATGTACAAAATCAACACCAATAACAACAATGACAACAACACTGAATACAACAATGATAACAATATATGGTCATAACAACAACACCAACAATATTATTCCACTAAACTTGCAATTATTACATAATATATCAGTTGCGAAACCCCTCGATTGTAGCAACAATATTCCTAGACATTTTAACGACTTAAATAACTACCTATAAAATGACTAAGTAGGTCCCATTCAGTCAAAACAAAACTCGGTATCGTTGGCCTTCGGGCTACTCAAATACCCCATTCACACCAAGACTTAATCATGTTTTAAAGTGGTTTAACTAAACAGGTTTGGAAAACTATCTACGAACATTGCACAATATTTGGTGAAATAATGCATGTAGACTATCCTTTGTCTTGCTCTTATGATATTTTAGAAAGTTTCATTATATTGTAGGTTTCTAGTTTATCTCCCCCCCCCCTAATGAAAACATAGTTTAACTAAACACGTTTAGGTGTGAATGGGGTAAAAGACTTTTTAGTATTAAAAACATAGGATCTTTAAACGATAGCATTTTTTTTGATAAGGAGAATCAAATTCACTCTTAGCTCGTCGCTATCGAAGTACAATCTGTACACTTTTGCCAATACATAGCACCTTCCTTCTATTGATCGTACTCTAACTACTGCGATATCAGAATACAATCTCCGCACTTCCGTTCAACAGATCTATTCCATCGAATGATCTAGATTAAATTGGCCGATGTTACCCTTATCGCCTCACTACTGTTCAAGTACTCTTAACTCCTATACACTGAATATTTTAGACCTCGATATGGCCGACAGCCATCTTGACATTATGCTATGCCGAGCGGGAAACTATTGGAAAATCTATAGACGACTGCACAACTGTCAGGGTGTCTTTTTTACATAACTTTACGCTTTTCGATGAAAAGCACATCYAAAACAGTAAAAGCAATATTCTCTACTTTCACATCCCCATAATGCCTTGCGTCTTTGGGGGGTAACTAATCAAAAAACTGTCCCAAATTGATTCTTAATTGAATTTATACTATACCTGCTTTTATCTGTACAATACTGATAATCAGTTTATTYCAAGTTATTTTTGCATGTACAGATCATCAAGAGTTTTGGTCTTACAGAAAATGTATTGACTTACGAAAAAATGTTTAAAATTTACCTTAAACGTCTTCAAGCTTCTATCTTTTTCCGTTTTTTTACTTCTTCACTTTAATTTTGGATACCAAACAAGTTATTGTCAACATTGTCTGCTCAGCCTTCAGCAAAATAAGTGGGTTTTTACCCTCTGGTTACCCCAAAAGACGCAAAGTATTATGGGGATGTGAAAGTAGAGAATAAGATGCAACAGCAGATGGTAGATGGAACAGCAGCGATACACCAAGACTTCAAATTATTTGAARACGTAAATTGCCAGCCACTCTGTGCTTTTTAATCTTCCCATGTTTCCATCCACCCGGTATCCCATAATTCAATATGGCCGCCGTATCAGGAAAAAGGTATATTTTGAAAATTTGTTTGAATTAAAGCCTAGCTTCAACTACCTCAACACAGTGTCACCTAAATGGCCGCCAGATAATCTTACTTAAGCAATGTCATCCGTCGGGAGTTCGTCTCGTTCTTAAAAAATAATTAATCAATTAAACTAATTCGTAGGGTTTAACGGCTTTGAACCAAAAGCGTAAATCGATAGCTTTTCTTTGTCTTTTTTCCGACAATTATTTCCTGTTTTCAAAGTCAAACGTCAAAATTCTTTTATCTGACTTTAAGAACCACTTAAGTTCTGACTCTATTTGACTTTTTGTTTGTTTATAGTGTAGTTTTGTCTCCTAATTACAGTTTACAACAATGTAATTCAGAGGAAACACTAATGGAGTCAACTAGTCCCGATGTTGTGCGCTGGAAGACAGCTTGTATGGTAAGCAAGATTTATCTGCGTTTTCTCATCTTCAATGCTTGTGTCTGTGAGAAGATCTGATCCCAAAATGTGAAWAGCAGGGTAGTTTTATTATACATTTACAATTTGATAATAATAACAAGCAGTCTTTTGTTCAATTTTACAAGATCTCAGTTTCTTTTTATTCGATTATTTAGCCGTTCCTTACATTCTTTCTTCATTTCTTTATTCCTTTCTCTCTCTCTCTCTCTCTCTTTCAGTATCTTTCTTTCTTTCTTTCTTTCTTTCTTTCTCTCCCACTATGTTTCGCTCTAATTTACTAATCTACATCACCACAACTGTTATCATTTGATTCTCAGTTGGGCAAGGACGCTTTTTTTCAGTACTTTTGTTTTATAAAAAATGGATAAACAATATACTTATTATTAATAGTGTAGAAACCACTTAACTGTATATTATCRATGTACAACCCTACGCTTTCACTCTTCATTCTTACTAGGCTCAGATACCTAATTTTATAGCAGAGTTAATTCAAGTATTTATAAAAGGATTTCCGAGTTCTAAYTGTCAATACTCTCCCCCTCGTAGTCCAATTTATATTCTTAGCTTAAACCCCCTCTAAGGATTGAAGATTACCCCATGGCTAGAACTTTCCACAATAGGTACAGCGAGAAGAATTACAGTTATCAAAAGTAATGACAAAAAAGCTCGTAAAATGAAAATCTATTAACGATCGATTACTTATACAATAAAAGCTGTCAACCTGACTCCATGGAAACGATCTAACTACTGTTTATTTGTGAGGACTCTTTGCACTGCTGGTTTAAGAGTATTGTGAGTAAAGTTACTTGCTTCAAGATGTAATTCATTGATTGAGAGTAAAGAAGAACCGGTGCTATGTCAAGTATTAGTGCTAAGATAAAAAGTATTACTTTCTCGAGAAGATTGTGTTTCCTAGCACGGAACTCATGCAATTTTTTCATCGTTCTTTTCTAGCTTTTTTACTTTGTGTTTATGGTGCTTCGCTGATTTTATGAGAATTTTTTGACCCATAATATATGACGATGTAAAATAGCTTAACTGAAATCATGGAAAGAATCGTGTGGTGAGCTTCGAAACTAACGATAATTAATTTGATGGAATTACATGCACTTCACTCCWTTTTATGTTGTCATTAATTAAATATTTCAAACTACTTCAAAATTACTACTTTCAAGTTATAATGTCGAATATTTGCAAATGTACAGTGGTCAGGAGACAATGGACTCTTCTGAGAAAAGTATGCTCAATGGCACACGTAGAATCGCTAATATATTCCGAGTACTCAAAAAAACTTTTTTTTAGGATTTCCAGTCTTAAGTGGATGGGCCATTAGTGCCATTGTATTGTCAGCAGTCAGTGACAATTTGTTGCTAATCATRATTCTAAAAGTACCATTTGCGACCGGAATATCGATATATGACGGCAGTTTTCTGTTCTTGAATATAGTAATGACGTGCGTGAACGTGATGCTTTTAGATCACGATATATGACGGCAGTTTTCTGTTCTTGAATATAGTAATGACGTGCGTGAACGTGATGCTTTTAGATCAGATATACGATTGGAAAGTGGTTTCAATTTTTTATAGTATAGCGAGAGGAAAAAAAAGGAGGAAAAATGCATGGGAAGCGACAAAAGAAATGGCAAAGAAAGGAAAGGAAAGGAAGCCACAAAAAAAGAAATAAAAAATAAAAAAAATAAAATAAAATTTAAAAATTTTAAAAAGGAGTGGGAAAAAGAAGGGAAGAAAAGAAAAGTAAGGAGACTCGAGAGTTAGAAGGGAGAGCTTAAAAGCTTATTTACAGAGGGTGAAAAAGGAAGGGGAAATACCTCAGACTATAATCATCGTTTCATTTTTTTTGATTAAGACTATGCATATGAATTATYAATCGTAATTTTAACCGTTACTCAGCTTTTAGAGCAATAAATAGGGCATAATCCACACTTATTCACRTTTTGTCAGACGCGCGGATGATCTTGAGTGTATCGTATCAAGTGTATGTCGAATACTTTAGATTAGAATACTGTAACAACAAGCAAGCAGTGAGAGAGCGACAGGGGACCAAAATAAACAAAATAAAAAAAAAAGAAAGGTAGAAGGTAGAGTAGAGTAGAGTAGAGTGGATTAGGGCAAAATATTGAGGGTTGACAGGATAGGGTAGTGTAAGTAACGGTAATATAAGGTATGGTAGGATAGGTCAACCCTGTATGATATGGCAGGGTAATATAGACTAGTGAAAGGTATATGATAGGATATGATAGTGTACGTTATATGGTAGAGTAGAGTAATCAAGGTACGATGATACTAAGCTATGRTAGTATAAAGCACTGTAAGGCATAGAAGAATAGCATAGGCTAGTGAAAGGTATATATGGTAGGAGAGAGGGTATTGTATGGCATACAGAGTAAGGTGCGGAAATATAGAGTATATATACGTATACGTAGAATAGGACAGTTTAAGGTTATAATGGGGTGCATGGAATAGGCTAGTAAAAAATATATAATAGAATTGATGGTTTTCACGGCGGCCATGTTGGAGGAACTTAAAAGAATCGTCAATGGATTCTTTTGTATATCCTCCAACATGGACGATGTGCCTTTTGTTATTTAATTCCCTTGGGAATGGTTGAAAACCATCAATAGGGTAGAAACTAGAAAGTCGCTTTTAAGTGTAATACCCCAGTTCCAGTTTAGAGTTCTCTTTGCTCAGCCTTAGTCTCGTTTGTGTGTTATAATATTCAGTTATTCAACCAAAACCAGTGGCATATTAATCAACTCGTATTGTCCCGTAGTACGTACATTCCTTATACAATGGACCTTAATGAAAGAAAAGAACACATTCGTACACAATCGAGGCTAAGACTGAGCAAAGGCGTTCTCGAAATGGAAGTATATTTGATCAAGTTATAGCTTTTAAGACTAATTCACTCTTGATCGACAACGTTTATTTTGTTCCACTATCAAGATTGACAACATGCCACCATTCTACTTATACTATTCAAACACTACCTACAGGCTRTTTATCATCCACAGTAATGTGTTTTTTCCAACCTCTTTTACTTTATTTGAGTCGAGAATTAATGACTTTTACTAAGTAAGCACCCCTCCTTAAGTGAGCAATYTAGCTCTTCACTTCAGGCACTCTTTCTTAACTCAGTTGTTACCTGGACGTTTCACTTATCAAAGCCCATTTACTTCCAACTACAATGCTGTTTGTTCCCATGCAAAGAACATTAGCCTAATTGTGCTGCACTTTTTCGACTGTGTTTTAAAATGACGGTTTTTTTCAAAGTTCTTCAGAACACTTAGCTTTACTGATGTTAGTCATTGAATATTACAGATGAGTTTTACATATGAACGCCCCATTCAGACTAAGGCCGGGTTAATGTTTCTTTATTTCCCAGATATTTTATACAATGTATTTACATTTTTTGTCTGTTTACTGGGGGGTGCAGAAGTAACAACCCAAAGGAATAAGAAAATTATGTACAAGCTGCATGTTCAAATCCTTGTGCATGCAAAGAATTTTGGCCTAGCTCAAACTCTATTGCATCTGCCAATTGTCATGACTTGTGTCCTAATGKTCTTTTAAAGCTCTTCAGAACACATCACTTCATGTCAGTAGTTACAGAAACGTTTCACGTATGATGTAATGCCCCATTAAGTTTCACCTGCATGTTCAAAACTGTGCGCAAAGAACTTTGGAATCAAAATTGTGCTTCCATTTGTCACGTGTTTTAAAGTTCTTTTAAAGGGACAGGGGCGGCAGAACCGGGGGGGCCGGGGGCACGTGCCCTCCCCCCCCCATTAATTTTTTTGTGGGGGCCCCCCAAAAAATATTGGTTCTGAGTCATTGTTTTACGGCGCATGCGTCTGCAATCAAACAAAACATTGTCATTATCACATAGCGTTAAATATAATCTTCAGTGCCCCCAACGATTTTTGCAGTACCCCCAAATATATTTTTAGCTTCCGCCGCGGACTTCTCAATTTGTTTAGACCGGAATTCGGATTCAGAGTAAAATTTTAACGGATCGACGGATTTCAATACCCCTATTAAACACCCTCTTTAAAGCTCTTGAGAACACATCACCTTATGGCAGTAATTACAGGAAGATTTCACTTATTTCCTCCCCATTCAGATTCAGCTGCATTTTCCAAATCCTGAGCATACRAATTATTTTGGCCTAAATTACTCTGCACTATGTCAACTCATTTTATGTCAGTAATYAAGGAGAAGTTTTCACGTATTAACGCCCTATTCAGATTCAGCTGCACTGCAAAACCTATATACGCGCACGAAAATCTTGGGTCACAAAATTGTGCCGCTTTTTTTCTTTTTTAGCCGTTGTTCAAAGTTGCCTATAATGCACTTTCATTTCGGTTCAGAAACTGTTTAAATTATTCAGTCGTTCTAATTCTACTTAAATTTGTTAAAAATTGCGGGCTCCACGGCGTCCCATTTTAAGCTATTGTTCACCAATCAAAAGTGTATAGACTGCCGTTAATTATAGATAGAATATAATCTTAGAGTTCTTTAATTTCCCAGAAGGAGTCAAAACCGTAGAGCTCATCACAGAATGTTCAAACTCTRAGTAGTACATTCCATAGTGATTTAGTATTCCATCTAGTAGTTTATTAACGACTAAACGACTAACTACAGGACTCTTGCATGATCGAGAAGATATGTTTCATGATTATATAATAGTTACGCTTACTTTTTATCACTAAAACTGTCGTTTTTTATTAATATCCACTTGAAAGAAACATCCTACGTAACACAAGTGACCATGAAAGGACTCACGATCTCTGCTCATTCTTTCTACAATGTTTTTTTTTTTTTGCTATAGTGACTGAATAAGAGCTGTACACTTCATTGAAAGAAGCCTAAAAGCTGTCTCCACTTTCGATTATTCAAATTTTTGATATTCGCGAGGTGCGATTGAAAGGATTCGTAGTTGAATAGACGGATAAAATTAAGGAAGATTTGATTCGTATGATTGTATATCATAACGTTATTAAATGCGCCGTACTATTACCGTGACCGTTCCATGTCCAGAAATCAAAATTCCCGCGCTCGGTGGCTTTTTCGTGCAGTGTTCGAGCATTTGATTGGACCAGCTGGTGATCATGAAATAACGCGCGCTGTGATTGGACCAGCTGGTGATCATGAAATAACGCGCGCTNTGATTGGACCAGCTGGTGATCATGAAATAACGCGCGCTGTGATTGGACCAGCTGGTGATCATGAAATAACGCGCGCTGTGATTGGTTCGAAAGATTTGGCCAAAATATTACAAGTATGAGTACAAGTTTCTAACTTTTCAAGATTGACACTATCATTTTGTATTCGTGGTCGTGTACGTAGATTGAAACTTTWAATTATAGGTTGGTCCCCATTGATTACTAAGAAATGGTTTCAAATTCAGTTTCCGTCTGTTGATTGGCCGAACAAGGTTCAACTGATTCAAAGAATACCACACGGTTCTTTCATTCATACGCGACAAGAGCCTCTCAAAACATCTTGCGTACATGCTCTAAAAAAGCTATACTCCGAGTTTATTTTGGAATTTATAATTTATAATAATATCAAGCATGGACAGGGCGGTTTTCAATCACTTGTTATCGAAGACTGATTGCGTTTCCAGATCAAGCCATATATCATCTCAATAGCTTCTTTTAGACCTTTTAGCCTTCAATAAGGTATTATAGGAGCAGTGCTTAGACCAATAAGKGTATACCAACTTATTCAATTACCGGTATTGGGCGTACAGGGGCGTCAACTGAGAACTCCAAGTTGTCGAGATGTCACATTACAAGATTAAACCTTTACAAAACGGGAAATGTAGGAGGCCGAGCGTTCGGTCTTTGAGGGTAGAGTTTATGAAAGTGGTCGAGATGTCACACTACAAGATTAAACCTTTACAAAACGGGCAAATGTTCGGTCTTTGAGGGTAGAGTTTATGAAAGTGGTCGAGATGTCACACTACAAGATTAAACCTTTACAAAACGTTTGAGGCCGAGCGTTCGGTCTTTGAGGGTAGTTTGTGAAAGTGGTCGAGATGTCACACTACAAGATTAAGCCTTTACAAAACGGGCAAATGTAGGAGGCCGAGCGTTCGGTCTTTGAGGGTTGAATTTGGGCACTTCTAATRGGTTTTATAAAATCGCGTAGTTTATTTGAAAATCAGATGCAAGTCAAGATTATTCCGCCTTCTTTTTCGCTGAAAAACTAAACGACAATTTAACGAGATCTAGATAATGAGCCACTATGAGATGCATTAGAGTGTGCAACCAATTTTTAAAAATATTTTTTAAAAACTTGAAGAAAATACCGAGAAACCAAGTAAAGGTACTCCAAACGTATTATTAGGCCCGCTTCAAATTGAACCAGATATTGATAGCTCGCTTCATTTTTCTATGCGTCTAAATTACAAAATAACAAACTATCACACAAGATAAAGTAACCCTG